ATTTAAATGAAAGAAATTCATAATCTCGTATAGTAGATATATATGGATTGATAATTGTCCTTCAATATTTTTCAAAAGTTCTCTTCAGTATACGTTGTATTCGCTTCTGTCGATTAATTAACACATTTTCTGACAGCAGTCTGGAATATTTTTTATTTTATTTTCAAGAATAATCATATTTGTTTTCAAGAAGGTTGTGGTTATTTTTCTTTTGTTACTTCAGTTCACTGGCCTTTGCTCAGCTGTACATTAATTCCCTGGAAATGTTCTAAAGTTCATTTGACTTCCGTTTTAAGTATTCACCATTATTTTATGAATTTCAATTGGTCACTATACAGTTAACAGAATTCCGAACAAATCGGAATGCACATAAAATTTGAACATTATAAATTTGTTGAATTAAATTGAGAAATATGCTACGAGAGAAACCAAATACAATGTAATTTACTTAAAGAGGGAGTTTGCTTGGAATCTGTTTATCAATTTACGTTAATATTGTAATTTCATGGTTTTTCCGTTATTGTCACAGTAGGGGTAATCCGCGTTGTTTCCGATTCATTGACTTATAACTCTTTTAAAAAAAAACTTCACCATAAAATTCAATTTAATTTAACGGCATATTTTCCCGCTTTAATCTTTTTTTAATGAAACGGGCGCCAGGTAATCGATTCTTTCATCAAAATCATTTCACCTTATAGCAAAGTAATTTGAGCCTTTATAATGCTCGTAAAGACGTTAAAATTATGATTTGTGGTCGGTGGGAGGTATGTCAAGACCCACTTGTGCAATGACGTATTGTATCTCCGATTCAGCGTTTAAAACTAAACTAGCTTCTAATTTTAAAAAAAAATACAGTCTAAGAGCTTATTTTAGGATGGACGTCAATATAGTCAGACTGCTATAATTATATTTACCTCTTTGAATAAACCAGCACACTTCAGATTAGTCTGCTCCAAAGTATTTTAAGATTAATTGAATGACGTGTATGGAAACATTAATGTATTAATACCTTGTCCCTGAACGCGGCTGTTGCCAACAATGCTTTCTTTCTTTGCAAACCAGATAAAAATATTATATAAGGTTATTTTTAAATATAGTAAGAAAGGAATGAATTCCTCCCACGGGCGAACGTACTTAACGGATTGGCATAATACTTTGTAGTCTTTTGTGTGAAAGACACACTTTCAAGCACCCAAAGAACAATATGACAATGCAATAATTCATCAGCAAAAATAACAATCAACCTACGAGCTTCAAACTTTGGCGCCCCAAGGTCTATCACTATGGTGAGTGTCGCCAGTGAGTTCCGAGCATATTTTGTGCGAACCCTGGATATCTTCTGAAAAGATGAAGCCTTAAGCTTAGTACTGTTATACTTGTACCTGCAATGTGGCCAATTGCCAAAAGATATAAGCAATCAACTGATAGTTTTTTTCTGCCTAAAGAGATAGCATGAACGTAATGTTTGGGCCTAATCAACATAAATAATACATCTCTTGTCCAATGACTGATTTAATCATCGTTTGAAAAAAAAAATAATACCATCGCCAGAAGAGGAAATTTAGATTCATTTAATATGGTTAATCAGACGCTATGCATGCAATTGCATCTTGTTTACAGTCAGCTCTTTATACCATTCAGAGGTGGCGTAATTTGCGAATTTTGTCATCAAATATCTCTGTAAATACTTTATTGCTAAAACGCTTTTATAAAAACTTCAGAGAACAGTAAGGAATAGTTAATTATATTCTTTCGACTTCAATACGGACGTTTGTCACTTTGGTGGTTTAGACTCTTAACCTTCACGATAGGATCTAATGAAGCATTGGCAAACACGAAATTGCTTCCTAGCTGAAATTATTCTCCTTTCAAAACATGGTTTTTCATTTAGAATGAGACAAAGGAAAAAGCATTTAATATGAATTGATACATTCAACGACTTTTTATGGTAAATCTATGCTTTTGTCGCTTACATAACTTGTCATTTAGTAAATGCTGGATTCGGTCAATTATCAAATTAAAGCTGGGGCGACATCAAAGGCAAGTGACAATGATAGATCTTAGTCGTCAGATGGACGTCTAATCGATGTCCAATATGGGTTACATTGATTTCTTGTGTTTGTGGGCTTTTAAAAATTCAATAAGTTAGAAAAAGAGCTTTGTATGTTAGTAATTGTGTTTTATCGATGTAGTTTCGATCTCGTCAATTACTACAGGATGTAATAGTGTATTGATGATATGATTAATAGCCTTTATGATTTTCTGATCAAGTTATTGATAGCTAATTTTACTTTTATTACGATGTCTGCAGAAAACGATCGTCGACTTCATTACCGTTCATAAAACATTAGTTATAGCTAGTCATTAGTCTGAAATTGGTAATGCCGGGTTATGGCAAAGTCACCTCTCTTTGAAGGTTCCTTTGAAAATGAAATAGATTTTATTTCTTTTTATTTCATTTTTCACTTGAAAACGACAACTTTCACGATGCAATGTTCTATTATTAAAAACGATTCTTATGATGCATTAACCTTTTCTATTTCGATTGTCAACTGTTCTGTTAGCCAAACAAGTACTAACAATTAATCAGGCATTTTTAAAACACCATCAATCCAAAGAATCTGTTAGAAAAAGGTCTCATTATAATCGTGCCAGGCTTTTTCAAACCAACATCAATCCAAAGAATCTGCTTGAAAAAGGTCTCATTATAATCTTGTCGGGCTTTGTCAAAACACCATCAATCCAACGAATCTGCTAGAAAAAGGTCTCATTATAATCGTGTCAGGCTTTGTCAAAACACCATCAATCCAAAGAATCTTCTAGAAAAAGGTCTCATTATAATGGTGCCAGGATTTTACAACACCATCAATCCAAAGAATCTGCTAGAAAAGGGTCTCATTATAATCGTGTCAGGCTTTGTCAAAACACCATCAATCCAACGAATCTGCTAGAAAAAGGTCTCATTATAATCGTGTCAGGCTTTGTCAAAACACCATCAATCCAAATAATTTGCTAGAAAAGGGTCTAACGAATACCCTGTCGAAAATTACTTCTCTGTCAACTTTCGTTATTAAGAACCTAATATGTCTGTTAGTCCGTTCAAATCAAAAGCTCAAAGCACTCATTAGTTAGCATGTAGTAGTATTATTCTTTAAGTGGTTATATATGTATAAGAATGAAGGATTGGGTTTCCATTTTATAGCTTTACAAGAAATCCATAGTTACTTTAATGTTTGCCAAACAAAAGTGATCGAGCTCTTAGTCCATTCGTAGGGTGCAATGATGTACCAATGCATGCCACGTTTGATTGGGTAACAAATTTCATATTCAGGCATAATATGGCAAATAGAAGGGCGATTAAGTTAATTCACGAACCGACGTTCCCTATTTTGAAGTACATGTATACATATGCCACCAAGAAACTTCAATACATTCAAAATTAGGAATCCTTTTAAGTCCTTATATGAGCCAGCCATAAAAGGGTTTCTGGAATGTCTTAGTATGAACCATTCAACAGGAAGCGACCAGCGAACCGAGGCTTCTTATTTTGAAGTCTAAGGAACATTTTGACCATATGTTCTGCAGGGTCAATCATAAAAATTACAACTGCAATACCATTGCATGATAATGCCTCATGAATGAGCTTTGACAGAAATATCTGATTTGAGCTCTATGCTATTGTGACATTTGTGGACCAAGAACTTTAACTGGATTATTAATAAACTTTGAATAAATAATAAAACATGTAACTGACTATAAATAAAGAACTTCATTTGAGGCAATCCCGCCATTGTTCGATATAAAGTCGAACCATGATGATAGAGTGTCAGTACCAAAGGGTTTCTCCACATCTACAAGCAAGATTCTGATCTATTGGGTATTGTCGGCCAGAGCACACCAAAGACTGTCCAATCTCAGATGCCACCAGTAACTATTTTTTTGTTTTCATCAATAATTTGAACTTGATGTCGACCTGAATGGTTTGAACCTGCGATCATCCATTCTGATGATCTCAGTAACTTGTATTCAGTCACTTTCAAGAGATGAGTTTTTCTTTCATATCTACTGCGACAGATCTGATGCATTAAATCGAATTGGGTCCATCTAAATGAAACTTTAGATGCCGAAAAACTTTATAACACTTAATAAATTTAATCTATCTACTCAATATTTCGTGTGATTTAACATGAAAGTGTGCAGATGGCTGGAGGTGATGAATTATTTCTGATTTCATTTAAGAGTATTATAAATATTTTTATCATCTTCAAAAATTAAAACAAACCACAAGGTTTATCAAATATAATTTCATATCCCGTGGGATATACTCGCATTTCTTGAGCATATATCCATTTCCAATTTAACATGGATAAATAGTCATACTGTTATTTGGTAAATTCGGTATGAATATGCAAAGGGTTTTTGTTGTGGTTTATATTTTGGATTTGTATTGATGTTATGTTTTATATAAATGTGTTAATGGAAAGCTGTCCAACTCTTGTAAAGATTTTCTTTAGTTAATTATGTCATCGTGTCCCTTTGTCTAGCCAGTAAATATAACAAAAGTTCTTACGTGTAATCAATGAATAAAACGATGTAATGTTAATCGGAAGTGCTAATATGTCGTATGATTTTGTATGAGTTACACGCTGAAGTGATCATTGGAAGAGCGTTTACCTATATGCTCCTTATATAAGTTAAATGCAGAAATGTTTGTCGAAAGTGCAATTACGTCTTTTACTGATTATTTGCATTCAATAATACTAAAATGCTCATGGGAAGCGTTATGTTCTATGCCTGTTATAGTTTTTGCATTTGTAAATATTAAAATTTTTCTCAAATGTGTCATTACGTACTCTTTTTCCTGTCACATGCATATATAAACGCTGAAATGTTCCATGGAAACATTCGTCCAGTGCTTTTTCTGGTTTGAGCCATTTTTCAACATTTACTATCTTATACAAAACATGTACATGTAGTTCGTCTTGGATCATCTGTAAACTTACCTTAAAAAGTCTCAGTACATTAGCAACCATAATCGACACAGGACTGGATGCGGCACCTATAACTCCAGCAACTGGCTTTAAGTTTCTGGAAGGAAGCTCCCCATTATTGCATTGATAATCCGCATGCCCAATCATGTTTAATTGGGCTTTAATAAAATCCATGCTCTGTTCCAATGCGTAGGTATCATGACTGCATGTATCTAAAATGTGCACGCCAATTTTTAAACCGGGAAACAAGGATTTTTCTCGATTTATTTTGTCAACCGCATATAACATAGCCTCCATACGTTGTATACCCTTTTCTTTCTTTATACGACCACAATCCCGTCCACTCTGTCCCTTTTCATGCATTGGAAACAAACCCCCGAAAATTACGTCACCATCCGTCACAATTTTATCACGATACTGCTGCGTTGAAAGTGTTACCAAAGTTAACAAAATTAAACAGGTCCACAGAAGTGAGGAAATGAAACTTAAAACCATACTTTTCTTTACTGTTGATTCACATGGTTTTGTCAACACAGAAAACTAAACATCAGAAACAAAGTAAGAATCACGCTTCATCTTTGGCCACTTGATTATAACGGTAAAGGATAACGCCAAGTAGAACTGTAGTTCCTCACTGTTATTTTCACTGTTAGAACCACGACATGCGCATTGCTTCTATATGAGATCAATTCTATAGCTCGCGTGTTTCCAATCGGGTTTTTACTGCTTTCTGATATTTCTACACAAATCCTGTAATATTCCATTAAACGATTAAATAGAATCCAAAACTATATTAAAATTGTATAAACGGATTAGACATTTTCCCATATTCTACAGTTGGTCATATGTGAAAATGATGTTTAAAAAATGTAATCACTTCAGAGTGGAAAAGAACCTTAAAAATAGATTCCCTTCTATAACTTCCTGTTTTAAAATGAGTTGTGGTAACACTTGAATGTTAATTTTCAATTTCTTGACAAATGCAAGTATCAACACTCGTGTATCATTGTTGTGTTAGGATGTACAATTTAGCACCTTATTGGGTAATCCGATTACTTGTTAGGATTACACTTGATATACGACTTAATTTTACCCCGTTCATTTCTAACTTTATATGGAATATCATTTTATTAGTATTTGTTAGTTACGCGTTTCAAATTAACCTTTGTATGTTAGAGAACCATAAAATATCAACATAAAAAATCATGTAAGTTCAGGATATACATCTTTAACGTCGACAGGCTGATGTAACACACTTTTTTTTTGTTTATTTATCTTTGAGATTTTGTAAATAAAAAGATAATATGTGTAATTTGAAGATACGAGGTACAAGGTGGAGGCGCTAATAGTTTACATTACCGGTCCACTCAAATATGTGAAAGTCATAGATTAAAGACTAAACTATGGTCTATTTTGTGTTATATAAGTAAAATCTTAAAATAATTTGTACATCGTCACCCACCACCATGTACAATCATTCGTCATGGAAAGAACTGTTTGAACTGTACAGATATTTTTTGCAGGAAAAATTTTGTAATTGCACCCATATATTGCTAAATAATACTTTACTTTGATGCAAATTTCGTAAACCATGTCGAAGATGTAATGGACATTCCTAGTTGAAAAAGTTATACTCTGTTGTACATTTTTGAGATATAAATACAAACAACGCCGCGGTGTGGGCAATATTGTCCTTTTTGCGATATCCCACGGGGATACTCTTTAGGGCAAGGGTCGTGAAATGAGAGGTGCAACATTAAGCATTGGCCACAGTATTCTCCAGTGTATTCCATGACCTTCTCAAATAGTTGTACAGGTTTCTGGACTATTCATTGGCATCAGTAACAACCTATGTTTGAACCATTCCAATTAAGTTCACCTTTTCAGGACGAGGATATGACGTCTGGACCGTTCGACGAACACACACAAACAATCCCTTTGCGCCAACTGTTACCATGATTTTCAGGTAGAATGTGTTCAGTCAATAGCGAAGTGTTAAGCAGGATATTATGTCAAACGATAATGTATGAATTGTAAATTGATATGGCAGCTCCTGCGACATTTAAATGTTGATTCTCTATAAAAGCCTATTTCATTTGTGACTTGTTATATATTTCCTACTCTAATTATGCACGTGTACACATGCCACGTGATTTGATGGTTAGGTGTATTTCCAGTTAAAGATTTTAATTTAAACTGCTTATTCTAGTCTGTTTTGTTTTCAGGGAAGGGATTTGATTCTCATAAATGTACAGGCCTAGGGTGGAACAGATACTTTATTTAGAAATTGGGATTAAGGGTCTTGATATTGGGTTTTCTTCTGTTCTTATTCTGATCTGAAATTAGAACATAACTCGTCCAACGGGCGAGAAGTATAGTATCTGTTATGTTCTGATTGTTTTTAGTTTACTATGAACAGCATTATCATTTGGTTTGCTCTTCCTGATGTAAGGTAGGCTACGTAATCATATTTCTTTTAAATAATAAATTATTATTGAGGTCAAATACTGACTTCCCTCTCTTTCCTTTGAAGATTTGATATATTTGTCTGGACTAATCAATGTCCGGTCTGACACAGATGGTACGGACTGACCTAAACTGTTAATCGCAGGCTTCTTCATCAGTAACAAAGAGCTTCCGACTTACTTTGTCGCTTGAAACACTTGCCGTTGTTTCGCAATATCTAGGTTGTGTTAAGTGTTCACTAACTATATTGTATGTTTGGTACTAGATTGTGATGGTTCTATTCTGGTCGCCGATAAAAATTCCCATTGAACTTCGTAGCAGATGGTCTAGAGTAATTATGATTCAACTCCTGGGACGCTACACAATTCAAACACGATATAATCAAATCCCCACATATTAATAAAGTATATGCTCTAATATTTAATAAGGCTTGGTCACTTTTACAGTTTACCGTGTTCCTCGGTTGCATGTGTATTAATTGTCTTGGTTATCATTGCAACCTTCGTCAAAATGGACTCGTTATAGAAATTCCATGTTCTTGCAACTTTCACTAGAAAATAAGCTTTCTTTCAACCTTCTTTTGAGCTAGTTTCAAAATATGTGATTTTTCCGACTGTCATATCGTTTGTGGACATTAATTTTTTTTTGCATATTAATGAAACAATTTAAACGTACAATTATTTGCTTCGTTTTCCGGAAGAACGACATTATCCTCCATTTATCTGTTGATGTAGCTGCAACAAGTGGAGAAATATCGAAGGGTCAGCCTGTAGCACGCAATTTTATTATTCAATCCGAACAAAGTAAAAACTCTTATCGTGTCAATGTCATCCAATTGTCTTACATCATCAATGTTACTGAAAATATTGTAAATGAAACTTTCAGACTTTGTATTTTTTAAACGTCATATTCTGAAATGTCAAGCGATTTATGACAACAATGCGAATTCTGCTCTACATTATTACAAAAAGAGATGATCATAGATATCTATCATAAATCATATCAATTTTTATTGTTTACTAGCATTTATCTCGACACGAACTATTTTATTACGACCAATAATAATGTGTAATGTCGCTTTACATTTAGAACATTATTCATTTATATCAACATTTTTAATAATTATAATTCTAAATACAATTTCGTTTCTATTCGTTTTCGTCTCCATTTAATCTAACAAGTGATCAAGGGTAATGGGGCGGTTTGCAGTCTAGCATACAATTTTGGACAAATATGATTGAAGACGTTCTATTCAGCCAGGCTATATTCTCCGAAATGATAAAAAAAAATGGTAGTGAAAACCTAAGAAAAAATCACGAAATAGTAAGAATTTACAGGTGAAGGGTAATGAAATCGATCAACGACCCTAAAGAAGTAATAAAAAGATTGAGAACCCCTGCCTTATGCATGTCAGCCCTTCAGATTTCAAGCTTCTTACTAGTTTGAGCTACTCCGACCCAACAAAAAACCTGATACATATTTATCGTTTATTTTATTAATAAGGCATTTCACATAGTTTTAATAAACTGGTTCGTTTACAATATCTTTCTACTTGTCCGAATAGTGAAAGATAACGCCACACTCATGATAGATTAATGCGACAAGCTAACCTAGTTCAGTTCGTATTCCACGACCTAGTGCTATACACATTGAGTAATTGCATTTTTCACTTTTTGACACATAATCTTTACTTTTGTCATCAGATTACTCAGATAAACAACCAATAGACTGAGACTATTGACTTAAAGAAAATGAAAACGATGATCAGTGTTACAAGAGGGACAAGCACCAGAAAATTCCATTCGATAGAATAAATACGATTGTTCCTTCCTCGTAGTTGGCACAATATTAGCTAGCCTCGTTACCATAAGTATAATGGTGGTAAACTTTGCATCTGGCGAAACCTGTCCCCTTTTAGAACGAATTAATTTCTCAACAATCTGTTCTCGCTTAATACCTTTCTATGTCTTTAAGATAAAAAAGCGAATCGTTTACGATATGCAGTCACTATCGAGGATCTTTTCTAGTTATTAATATGTACGATCTAGTATAAAGGTATCTGGAAAACACCACATAAGGGTGAAAAAATTTAATAAGCATATCTACTTGGCCTTAATACCTTACTAAATATTCTAATGTCATCCGCAATTTTAATTGGCACAAAATATCTAAAAAGCTCTACAGGTATATTTAATGTTTAGATTTTCGAACGGCCCCTTTCCTAGTAAATGTCCGTTTGAGATGTGCAGGGGCCAGTAGATCGGCTTCATCTTGGAAGATATCGTTCAGAAACTGGTCGAATTGTGTGGCTATGGAAATGCCACTTTCTGCCAAATCACACCACAAAGAGTCCTTCTGACCGTTTTTAAATTCAACTTCTTTGGTCAGTTTGTCTTTTAATCGATTCATTTCCGACACCTCGTCACCAAGAACCATGATTTGCTGCTTCACAAGTTCATCGGAGCAATCATAATACAGGCACTTTTTAAGTGGAGGTTCAACTATTGTGGGGATGCTGCTGATGCTTGGAGTCTTCGTGGAGTTGAATTGGACGTGATTGTTTGCAGTCGTCGTATTTGGAGGGTTGGTTTTATTGGGCGGTCCAGTGTTCTTTTCATACAAGACGAACTTGTCGTCAGTTATACTACCTGACCTTGTCATGGAGTTCCGCTCAGAATTGTTTTCAACTGGCGAAGAATTATTATTCACAGTGTCAAAATCTAAGTGATTTAAATTCCTATCGTTTACGAGATCAACTACAATACTGATAAGATTTCGAATATCTACATCGTTTAATTCACTAGGAGAGGCGTTATCTATGGCTACAATTCTATTCCCACACAGCTCAATTAAATTCCGAAGCTCTGAGGCAGATCCTCTTACAAACTTGCTTATTGATCCTTTACATAGTTTAGAATTTTTTGAAGTGAAAACTATAACGGCATGTTTGTATATCTCTTCACCGAAAAACTCTTTAAACCAATCGATAACACAAGTATCATTTTCACAAAACCTTGAACTACAGCTAAACACAAACAGAAAAACCTGCGGTCCAGGATGAGCCAATTCAACACATCTCTTAATGCTTTTCTTTATTTCTGCATCGATGTCATTCCCATCAAAATAGCTTGGTGTGTCTACAATGACGAATTTAGTGCCGAATCTCGTCGTTTCACCCGCAGCACACGTCCGTGTTGTAGGAGTTCCTTTCGTGCTCACTGGAAACACATTTTGAGCTAATATAGAATTTCCAGTCGAGCTTTTGCCAGTCCCTGTTTCTCCCACCAGTACCATTCGAATAACCATTTTCTGCAACAAGTGAAAATATAATTTATTTATGTATCGTATTGATAAACGAACTAAGTCTTTATTATGAACGAGTCAAAAGATTTCTGAATGTAAGCCACGATAAAAACAAGACTGGACATAAATAAGTACGGATAGTGCCTTTGTCTGTGATCAGGTGGAATCATAAAAACTTCTGCTAAATAGACAGCTACATTATCTCCTAAACAAAACGCAACCAGGAAAACGAGGTTGAGCTACCTATTGTTATTGTTTCCTTATTGTTTTTATTTCAAATTACTGAGTGATAAACACGGTTCATTATTTAGCGAATGAGCTTTCAAAAATTTTTTTTTTTCTTTACATAAGTGTATAACAGAAACATTTGCTTCTTAAACATTTGCTTCTTAAAATTCGTCCATATTTTATTCTAAATGTAAATCCCAAGTATGTGCAGTCTTAGTAATTATGATTTAAATTCAACGGGGAAACAGGTCGGCCTTTGCTACTGGCAAATTTGAGAGCAACTGCGTTATTCGCTTCACAGTTGCAAATATACTACTTTTTTTTAAGTCTAAATTGTAATCTGAACTGTAATAAAGTTTAAATTGAAATTTGAACTGAAATCTAAAGATTAAATTGAAATTTGAACTGAAAGCCAAAGATTAAATTGTAATCTGAACTGCATTTTAAAGATTAAATTGTTATCTGAACTGAAATCGGAAATGACATCCATAAATTGATATGTATAAGCTTACAACTCAATTGATTCCTGTGTTTGACAAATAGGCACCCTATTGCACTAGATAGTGAACGTTTTAAAATTCATAATTGTCATTTATGAATGTTTCAAATTTTCCAAAAAAAAATCATAATTTTATTTCACCAAGATCTGTTTCATATCATACCTGATTAACTGTTAAACTGAAGAGAATAATCTCATGCAAAGACTTGCCTCATATACATGAAGCTACAAAGACCACCACTCCTTGTGATCAATAAAGTTCTGCTAGACTTACCGTGACCTTACGACAATTATCAAATTAATCAAACTAGGTGCATTGGTATTTTATCACTTGATTGGGTTTGAACTATTGGTTAAACTAATTAGAACATCCAATTAATCGATCTGATAACTCTGTTATTTTATTATTGTACACAATATTGTGTATTTACCTAGTATGTTCTGTCAATCATCTCTATTGGCATGAAGTGAAATGTAAACGAAGATATGTTTTGCATTGTATATTTTAAGTATATGTAACCCCAAGTCTTCTTTCTCTAGAACGAGATATAAAATATTAGTTTTGAAAATGCCTAAAATGTGCTTTTACACGTAATCCTTCTCGTAGACGGACAGCTTTAATACTAATTAAGTGTACTTGTAATGAAGTGTCACTTTAAATGAAATGAATGGAGTTTTACGTCTTACTCTTTTGCACCTAATTGGGCTAATCTTAAACGTTCAGTTCACGAAGGTTCTCAGGTTTTTGGTTCTGAAGTTTGTTATTCCCATTTACATATTGGAGATGGGGGTTTCTCTTTGCATAGTCTACGCTGTATCTCTTCAAAAAGAGATTGAACTAAAACGAAATGTTGACAGTACATTATACCTACCCACCAACAATTTTATTTCACATTTTAAGTAATACCAAACTAACCTAATATTGATTTGAATAATATTTGTTACACTCCATACATTATACCAGTCACAATCAGAGCGTGACGAAAATAGATAATAACACAACATAGAATATCAATTTTGTTATATTACTTTTCATTAGGCAGTTTTTTCCTCATACTCGATACATGTATTTCACAATATTAGGCAACTCAATATGATATGAAAGGGAGTTTTCCGTCTGATGTTCTATTCTAGTCTAGGCTAATTAAGCTTAACATACAGTGTGCGTTGACGGAAATCAAAAACAGCGGCATTAACTTCTTGAAAAGATAATATATTATGCTGCTCGCTTTCATTTTTTTGCATAAATTTGCCACTTTCATTTTGTGGTTAAACACCCACGAATACTGCTTTGTGACTTCGTACATTTTGCTTGTCTGTAATTCTATATAACGAGCTCATACACGACTTGTCAATATCTATTGTGATATTTTGTATCTGTCAGCTTAAGGATTATATTTATGTTATGTTATTTTTTTCATTGTTATATTTTCATAATCTACTTTCCTTGTCTACGTTAGTATTGAAAGATTTATATTATTATATATACATATGTATAAGATATACAAATCGAAGTCAAATATACCTCTTAATATTTTTTATTGTATACTTAATGATCCTTAATGAAAAGGACACTATTAGTATAACTATTTGAAATATACTTCAAACACTGAAGATAAACAAACTTACAAAATATTACTATAACATAACCTCCGATCTTAAAACTAGGCATAGTTATGTTTATGTTAACTGCGATAAGGCACGATTAGGTATTCTTGTTCTTCGCCTCTAATTATTAATCGTTGCAGGTTACTCACCCTTTTTGGAGATGGATTAATTTCATCTAAACTTGGTATAAATACAGGTACACCTATCTCCTAAATAGTTATAATTTTCCTTTTATCACCGTCGCCATGTTGTCACGTGACATGAGTCTAAAAAAAACTGTTATCTCAATTTGAATAGGTAACCGGTGTGGCAAGTCAGCCTTTACAATATAGTATAATCTGTATTAGGTATAGCATGTATTCTGCATAATACAGTCCAATACAGTTAAACGAGAGCACAATATTCATTTAACCCACTTACGAGATACAAAGCTATATATTATTGCAAACTGTGAAAGGCTTTGTCGAATTTGAATAACCTCTAACCACATTCGGTCAAGTCTTACTCTATTTGGATTTCTGCCATACGAGAATATCCGTGATCTGACAATTTTTGGAATGCACTTCGCGACATTATCTTTTTTTGAGCGAAGGAAGGGTAGTTTTTGATCATTTCATCAAAGATTGTCATGTTATATCTATATCTCTTTTTTTTTTGCATCTTTGTACTGTTATTATATGATAAAGCCTTTGAATACTTATTCCAATGCCTTGCTGCTTGGTTTGCCAGTTTACTGCTGATTTAATCACTATTTATTCATTTAGCAACCGTTAAAATCGCCAATCATATTGGTCCCTTCTTGCAACTCTTTCCAAATGAATCCACGTATAAAGAAAAGCAATGTTGTTAGATATCCCATACATATTTAAATGCGGCTGTTGTTAGAAAATGTAAATATGTCCATATCTCATCTGAAGTATCTCATTTACTAGTGGTAATATTAGGCTTTCGACAGGCTCATCAAATAAGCTACATGCTTCTGGCCGTAATTGACCATGGACTTGTTCTCAATAGAAAACAAGTTGCTGAATTCTAGGTAGTTTAATTGCCAAGAAATACATACATCAGATTCAGTTGAATCTGAAAAGTCTTGTATTGCGAGTGAGATCAAAATGATATTGGGGAAACATCGTCAACTGACTTATAAAGCTGTGGTTTGTACGACGAAACATTGTTCAGACAATAAGGAAGGAGATTAATCTTGCAATCGTTTTTCTCCTTTGCATTTATTTGGTTTATTTTGCAATAAGATTTACCAAACAAAAATATACACACCCAATGTAGGTGTGTTGTTTCAATTGTATCCATCGGATTAGGAGAAAAAAAAAGAAAATACAGTCCTACCTCCATTTCCGAAGCACAAACCAAAATTACATTGTATCATTTTTCTATTAACCTTCCGTGTGAGTAAACTGTTGTTTTTGTTTTCTCGATTTTCGTCGATTGCATTTGACTTTGATTTTGATTAATAGTTTCGAACCGAATGGATTTGATTTAATTTCACTATTTGAAGAAAAAAGTTGTTTGTATCCGGCCTTTAATTAAATGATGACTAGTGAACAATCCTTATTGTAATTTTTTTTTAAAAGTTTCGATCCATTCGAACCATAACGGGTTATAATTGCAGCATTTAAATAGAATCGTTCTTGGTGGTACCACATAACTGTTTTAATTAATTCTAATTACCACTGAATTATTTTGACTGGAAGGAAATTGAATCTGAAAACGGATATCGGCTTGAAAGAAACATTCTTTTATTATACAGTAGCTCTTTACAAAAGGCTTCGTTCAATTCCACTGTTCTTCAGGAACAAACCTGAAGCAGATCGACAATTGTACGTCACTTCATAATTCCATTCAAAAATCAATCACGCTTTTCGTTTTAGCAGCCATTAATGAATAACGATCTGAAAATACATAGTTTCCAATATAATAACCCCTTGGCAAAGCCTACACAAATATTTTCTCGAATCTGCTTGACATGTTCTTCAGAGAAAGTGTGGTACACATTCACTCCCCTTCAAAGACAATACAAATAAACCCTACGTCGATCTGCAAAATCTATATAGAATTAAGATTGGCCAACTTCGCCAAAAATACCAATCCCTAAGAAACCATATGTTTCATCGCTCAACTGTCCTTGCCCTGGTATATAACATCTCAGGAGCACAGACATCCCCAACGTCGATGGGCATTAACGTTGGAAGTTTATGGAAGAAGTCTGTAATTGTTTTTTGTGATTTTAAGGTCAAGTTGTCCAATTTCGATAGACTTCAGAGTATGTTCAGGGAGTAATTTCTCATTAACCGTGTGGCACACATTGCCCTTTACCTAAACAATTTACTTTACGAACGATAACTGTGGTTCAATACTTAAGAACACTTGACGTTGCCCCCTTCACAAGAACAATACATCTAACATGTGATCGTCTTTCTAATATAATTTACATGTTCATTGGTGAAATCCTAATTGCTGGATATTTCAATGTAAATAATCAAAGTCTTTAAAAGATTTGTAGTCTGATTACGTGTCTGGGTATAATCTGGTTGAAAGATTTTCTTTTCACAAATAATATTAGACATCAAAAGCTTACATTTCGGAACGCAGGTCAACATGGTCTCTGATCTAACGTCGTTGATAGGTACACAAAGTTCAACATAATCCACACAACGTTCAACATAATCTATCTCTGTACGTACACGTTCTTACACGTTAGAAAAACTAAAAGGCAATTTGTCAACACAAAAAAAAAACACAAAAATAACGTTAAAATTGCGTCTCTTTTTGTTCACACTTTTGTCAGTCAATCTGTAAGTATTGTAATGTCCATTCTTTTTTTTAATTTTTTGACAACCCTAGTATGCAGCTAGGGACAGCATTATGAAGACAATGTGTAATTCCAATTAAACTGACTTCAGTATCAGAGACACGAATTAACGTCTAGTTTGACGAATAAAGAAAAACATTGATCCGAAATGACCAGACATACACGATCAATAGCACCATTAACTGACCCTTGCCTCCTCTCCTATTTGAGCTTTTAACTATTAGGTTTAATGAATACTCTTCCATCAAGCATTGGTTTTAAAGTTCTTGTCCTTATAAACGTTATCATTATACCTTCCTTACACGTTACTTGATTCTTTACACGTAAATGAATTCCCAATTAGAACAGAAGATGATGTTGGTGTTGATTCTTAAAAACTTTATTTCAATATGTACTTACATAAAGCGAATTAATTTTACATGAAAGAATTATTTAGACTTAAGTGAAACTTCGTGTTGGGTCTTGGTTTAAACAATAGAAATAATACGTTATATTCTTCTGATTTCCGGGGAAAATACGACTAGAAACTCCCATGAATTGTGCATTGGGGAAAACTAAATGCCTGTTGTTACTATACCGTAAAATACTCACATAATTATCTTATATTTGCCAGGAATTGTCCCTGAATTGGTGATTCTGGATCGATCTCTTCCAGTTTTCATGCAAGTCAGCTCAGCTCAAAGGGAAGTAACTATATTCGACTAAGGTTCCGGGTACATTCAATTGACTTCCACCGCCAATTTGGAGATATAGCAACTTTGATTTCAAGTCATGTAATTCGTGTGTTGAATTAGAGCAGTTTCAATCTTCAATATGGATACCTTATGATGATACAAGCTGTATTTTTTTTTGCACCCACCAAATAATATGAACTTAATTGAGACACAAGCTTATTCCATTTTGCCCCTGTTGTGTTTTAATACTTCTATATCGCTCTGCAATTGATGTATTGAGCAGCATTTTAACAGTGGTATTTCTATATCGCTCTGCAATTGATGTATTGAGCAGCATTTTAACAGTGGTATTTCTATAGTGCTCTACAATTGATGTATTGAGCACATGTTAACAGTGGTATTTCTATATCACTCTACAATTGATGTATTGAGCAGCATTTTAACAGTGGTATTTCTATATCACTCTACAATTGATGTATTGAGCAGTATTTTAACAGTGGTATTTCTATATATCGCTCTACAATTGATGTATTGAGCAGTATTTTAACAGTGGTATTTCTATATATCGCTCTACAATTGATGTATTGAGCACTATTTTAACAGTGGTATTTCTATATCACTCCACAATTGATGTATTGAGCAGCATTTTAACAGTGGTATTTCTATATCGCTCTACAATTGATGTATTGAGCACTATTTTAACAGTGGTATTTCTATATATCGCTCTACAATTGATGTATTGAGCACTATTTTAATATCGCTCTACAATTGATGTATTGAGCACTATTTTAACAGTGGTATTTCTATATATCGCTCTACAATTGATGTATTGAGCACTATTTTAACAGTGGTATCTTATATCTCACTACAATTGATGTATTGAGCACTATTTTAACAGTGGTATTTCTATATATCGCTCTACAATTGATGTATTGAGCAGTATTTTAACATTGATATCTTGAGCACTATTTTAACTATATCTCTTCACAATTGATGTATTGAGCACTATATTAACAGTGGTATCTTTTATCTCTCTACAATTGATATATTGAGCACTATTTTAACTCTGGTATCTTATATCTCTCTGCAATTGATGTATAGAGCATACTTTTAACAGTGAATTTATATTTTGTTAATGTACATCCCAGGTATAAGAAAACTAAATGCAGTATTTTCAGAAAAAAGGGGTATGGAAACAGTGAACTAGTTAAAGAATATTATCAGAATTCCTTTTGAAAATTATCATTTTATTTTTTTATATTATAACAGTGCATACTTTTTTTTATTTCTGACCGCATCAATGACCATTTGTAAATGTATATATCTTATAGCTCTTCTGTGGATTTATTCTTTATGTTACTTTGTATTTAATTTGTAGTTTGTAGAATCTTTGGGAAATTAAGACTTTTGTTGACATGGGTTGCCAAAAATAAGTTAGAATTTAATATTCAAAAAAATAATGTAGAAAAATAAAGTAGACTACGAAACGCATATAATTTTATTTTGACATGCAATATCAGAGTTACGTACCCTTAACTCTTTATACACTGACTGCTTTACCAGTAGTCATTTACACTGAATAACTTTTAACTTTTCTGATATTTCATCGTCTTCTTTTTCTATTGTAATGTGTTGATATAAAAGATATTTGAAAATAGAAAATATAGTGTCAAACTAACCTCAACACATCCCCAGTAAATAACATCCGTGTTATAATGAGATTTCAATTCGGTGTAAAGGAATACTTCTCTTCGAATGAAAATAACAATTTAAACTTGACCAATAATAGTATAT